GGGACAGCACAGGGTTAGATACAGAGTAAAGCTCCCTCTGCACTGTCTATCCTGACTTCACAAACACTTGAGGAGTGTATCAGCGTTTACAAGAGGTCCCAGGATCTGGGGTAGAGAGGAGCTGTGTCTCAGTATTGACTGGGTGTCCCTGGGGGTGGTGGGGGTGGGGGTGGTGGGGGAATGCTGTTGTCAGTATTTACCTGAACGTGCTGCCAGGGGAGGTGGAAGAAGTAGATACAATAGCAATGTTTAAGAGACGTTTAGATAAAGGCATGGACAGGCAGTGGATAGAGGGAGGAGAAAATTACTGCAGATGCTGGAACCTGTACTGAGAATGAAAAATGCTGGAGATCACAGCGGGTCAGGCAGCACGCATGGAGAGACAGAGAGCAAACTAACATTTCTGGTGAAGGGCCATCCAGACGCGAAACATTATCTTGCTTTCTGCCCATGGATGCTGCCTGACCTGCTGTGTACTCCAGCACTTTTTCTTTTCAAGGAATAGAGGGATACAAACCATGTGCAGGCAGATGGGATTAGTTTGGAATGGCATCACGGTCAGCACAGACATGGTGGGCCGAAGGGCCTGCTCCTGTGCTGTACTGTTATATGTTCAGGTGATACTCTAATTTAGAGATAAATGGTAATGACCAAGCATTGGAGAATTCCTCAATACAGTGACCTGGGGATCCATTACATCCAATTGAGAGGCAAGGCCACCGTATAATGAATATGTCATCCGGAACATTCTCTGGAGTGGGACGCACAATCGTCTGACACCAGATGGAGAGGGTAGTCACAGTCGGCACATATGCTGACATTGACCAGGCAGGAGGGGGGTGACACAGCTCTTTCTGAAGGTGCTCATGGGATGGGATTTCCTGACAATCAGCGATGGGCAGCATGGTCACCATTACTAAGTCTAGCTTTTGATTCTCAATTAATCGACTCAATTTAAACTCCAGCAACTCCTGTGGTAGGATTTGAACCTGCGTCCCCAGAGCCCATAGTCCAGCCCTGTGACTACTTCAGGACCATTCCCTGTGGTGGGGCGTTTGCTGTTTGCAAATTGTCTGCATTTTTTCGATCAAACAGTTTGTATTTATTTGGCAAACTCAAACTCCTGGAGCAAAGCGATTACCTCCTCATTTGCTGGTTTCAAGGTGATTATCCCTGCTGCATTGGCACAGCAACACCCTGCCCAATCAGAGTTTACCTGCCTGGTCAGGGAATGAAGATTGACAGTTAACTGCTCTCTAAGCTGACGATGACCCAACCAATTAGCTCCCTCTCCTTGTGCTGTATAAATCTCTGTGCCTTTGGTCAAGTCTGCCTTTTAGGCCCTAGTTCTGATGAGTGTGAGATGAAAAGCTCTTACTCCTTGTTGCCGAGAAACTGGGTTTACGATGAATAATCCATTACTTTGGGGTGACTTAACTGAAACATAAGAGACTTGACTGGGTGGAGATGTGGAAAGGATGTTTCCCCTTGTGGGACAATCGTTTAAAAATAAGGAGTCACCCATTTAAATTGGAGATGAGGAAGCAGAGAGCTGATAGTCTTTGGAATCCCCTTCAGCGCCAGGGACCCGGGTTCGATTCCACCCCCGGGCGACTGTCTGTGTTCGGTTTGCACATTCTCCCCATGTCTGTGTGGGTTTCCTCTGGGTGCTCTGGTTTCCTCCCACAGTCCAAAGATGTGCGGGCTAGGGTGGATTGGCCATGCTAAATTGTCCCGTAGTGTTCAGGGATAAGTAGATTAGGTGGGTTACAGGGTAATGGGTCTGGGTGGGATGCTCTGAGGATTGGTGCGGACTTGTTGGGCCGAAGGGCCTGTTTCCACACACTGTGGGGATTCTCTGATTCTATCATCTATGAAAAAATAGTTTCAAGGCAGAGGGAGATCCTTGACGACCAAGGTGACGAAAGATTATCGGGGATAAGCAGTAACGTAGAGTTGAGGTTAAAATCAGGTCAGCCACGATCTTATTGAATGACGGAGCAGGCTCGACGGGCCAAGTGGCCTTACTTTTCTTCTTTGTTTGCGTGTTCGTGTGTTGTCATGACAGGTGCTATACGAATGCAAGATCCCGCTTCTTCCTCTTGTTTATTTGTCACGTCTCCCATTTACTTTCACCCCCACCCTCACCCCCTTCAGAGCTACATTCAGAACTTTCGGGAACGCCAGACGGGCGGGGGCGCCCCTTCTGGAGGCTTCGGCACGAGCACGCACACCATGATCGATGTAGACTACGACTGCAGCTCCATGGTGCCCCTCACGGCCTCCACACCCGCTGTCCGAGTGTGAGGCGACACGGGGAGTCAGAAATGACGGGAGGATTCTCGCTGTCGGGTGCCTGACGAGAAGGGAGGCGGGGGGGAAGGGAGGGAGAGTGCAGCGGAAAATACAACTCACTGGTTCTTGCTGCCAGAATGGCAAAGTGAACCTTTTGCGAACAAATTGATTATGTCTCTCTCCCTCTCTCTAACATGACTTAATGAAGACTGCGTTTTGTCTCTTCCAAGACATAAATACACAGAGGTGTTTTTCTGAGCCTATAGTGCTCCCCCCCCCAGCCCCCTCTACTACTTTTGACTCTGAGCTGAGGGAAATGGCGACGGGCATCATCACTACGCCACAACTTTGGAACTCTCATCTCGTTGTTGATGGGAAGTGCTTTACGGAACACGGCCCAAAAATAAATGGCATCCACCCTCACCGAGAGAGAGAAATGGAGAGCGAGGGGGAGCAAATTGGGAGAAAGTCTGCATTGTCCTCAAAGCCCCATTGTAATCCTTTCCCTTGTTCTGCGCTCTGCAAGGGAACTGGAAACTGTTGATGCAGCGAGAGAGAGAGAGGAGGGTGACTACCTCCTACAGTGATGGGTACTTCATTCAGCTTGTGAGCCACGTCCTCCTCCATTAATGCATCGGGAATAAAGGACCTCAGCAGGAGATTCCCAACAACACTTACCAGGCAGATTATTTTTATTTTGCATGACGCCAAGCCATGTATGTACGTGTGGAGTGAAATGTACCCACACATATAAACTTTCATGCAAGGACCTGTTCTTGAATGTAAAATATTAAGAAGGAAAAGGTACTTGTTTGGCATTAGAAGAGAAAGTGGATTTTTTGATGTTGTGTTAAGCCCCTCTGTAGAAATACCTGATTTTGTGTTCCTAAAGTCAGCAAGAAAGAAATGTGTTTGTGTGTGAACCTCCTATCTATTGACAGTCAGAGTCTTTGATAGCATTGCCAACTCCTCAGCATTACTGCCTGAAGTGACCAGAAATTTAAAGATTAATTTCCAGGGCAGCCATCTTACAAAGCAAACCCCATGGGAAAAGTAGCAATCATAAAATTCTTAAAAAACTTAAAAGACTTCTTAAAAAATAAACTGGGTGTTTTTCCTTTTATTTATTTGATTGGAATATTAGTTCCAAATGTTTTGAAATTGGCATTGATGGGCGAGGCAGTATTTAATAGATTAGGGAGAGACATTGTACTCCTTTGTTGGAATAACTTATTTTAGCAAACTTTTACGCAGAAGCATCTTGTAAAAATTACAAAGTGCAAGCCCCAGGCACCTTTTGAAACTTCAGCCCCCACTATCTGCTCAAGACGTGCTCATAATTTTCAGCCTCATGTATCACTCAAACTAAACTGACTTATTGACAAGAGAAGCAATCAGAAAGAACGTGGAGAGAGATAGTAGGAACTGCAGATGCTGGAGAATCCGAGACAACAAGGTGCAGGGCTGGATGAACACAGCAGGCCAAGCAGCATCATAGGAGCAGAGAGGCTCCAAGCAGCATCATAGGATGGAATTAGCATCAGTATTGATGTGGGCCTTAACTTCTTTAATTCCAAAAGGCCCAACAGTCCTCAGCTGCTTCATCAATGACCTTACCTCTGTCATGAGGTGGTTAGCTCAGTGGTTAGCACTGCTACTTCACAGCACAAAGGACCCGGGTTCAATTCCAGCCTCATGCAACTGTGGAATTTGCCCATTCTCCATGTGTGTGTGCGGGTTTCCTCCGGGTGCTCTGGTTTCCTCCCACAGTCCAAGGATGTGAAGGTTAGGGTGGATTGGCCATGCTAAATTACACATAGTGTCCAGGGATGTGCAGGCTAGGTGGGTTAGCTATGGGAAATGCAGAGTTAGAGGGATGGGGTAAGAGAGCCAGTGTGGGCTCGATGGGCTGAATAACTGGCTTCCATACTGTAGGGATACTATAAAATCAGAAGTGGGGATGTTCGCTGACGATTGCACAATGTTCAGCACCATTCATGAGTCCTCAGATACTGAAACAGTCCATGTTCACATGCAACAAGATCTGGGCAATATGCAGGCTTGGGCTGACAAGTGGCAAATAACATTCAAGCCACACAAATGCCAGGTAATGACCATCACCAATGAGAGAGAATCTAACCATTGCCAATTAATTTTCAAAAACATAACTATTTTTCTGTTCCCCAATTGTCCATGCCCTGTGGTTATCACTGGCCAGAAACTGAACTGGTCAAGCTTTGTAAATATAATGGCTGCAAAGTTGGTTCAGAGGCTGAGAATTCTACAGTGGACAACTCATTTCCTGCCATCCCAAAGTCTATTTCTATATACCAGGCACAAGTCCACCTCTACAAGGCCCTTACAGCAAATTAGGAAGCTAAAAACCTTCCTGGCCAAACAAGCCCATTTGATTAGCATTCCATCCACAAAACATCCACTCCCTCCACCACCGGAGCTCAGTAGCAGCAGTGTATCATGGTCCTGTCTGCCCTCTCCAACAGGTGTAACTGACCCTAAAACCACGCTGTTGCAGAGTGATCCCTGGTCCCTTGCCCAAGAAATCTTGCCCTTGGCTAACATCGCAAAAAAGTAACAAAAACAGAACTTGCTGGAGAAACTCCGCAGGTCTGGCAGCATCTGTGGAGAGAGAGATCACAGGGTTGTTAGATTCCAGAATTTACAAGAATGATCCAAAAACAGAGGGGATAATGCTGTCAGAAAGGATTGGGAGAAATGGGGCTCTTTGCTCTCAAAAAGAGGCGGCTGACGGAAGATCTGATGGAGGTCTTTAGTATCGTGAAGGGTTTGAGAGTCTGGACAGAAGGAAGTCCAGAATTGTTACACAGTGAATGGTGAGTCATACAGGAGATTCGGGAGGAATCTCTTTATCCAGATACCACAGGGAAAGTGAAACTCTCTCCCACTGGGACTAGTAGAAGTCAAAAGTCAAAATGGATTTAAGGGGAATTTGGATAAACTGATGAGGGCATAAGGAACGAAAGGTTAAGCTGATACAATGAGATGAAGTGCGTGTGGGAGGATCCTAAACACCAACATGCAAAAACTGGACTAAATGATCAGTTGCTGGTCTGTAAAATTGTTCGCTGTAGTTCTTTGCACAGAAGTTATTAACCATTTGGGGAAATGGTATAACAAGGAATGACAATGCACATTAAATCTCTTGCAACAGGAAGGGAGTCATCTCCCCTCTTTCTAACCACCCTCTCATTTGATTGCAACAAATACTTTTATTTCTTTTAAGCCCAGATATCACGCTTCAAATAAAATGTAGCCCACTAGAAATGGAGGAACTAATTGCCAGGGTTTACTTGAGCGAAAGAAGGTAATATTTTATGGCCGACTCAAGACAAAGATTTGATTTGTTTAATGCAACATCGAACATACACACAAACATGGGTAATAAGTTTATAAGAGGTTGGGTAAATGTCTAGTACAGACAGAAGGATAACAGTAAGTGCGGCTTAGAATTCTTAGAACCCTCAAGGTTCGAGAATGAATTCTGAGTGCATGACAATTTAGCTGCTCTCTCCGCAGCAGCGGTGACATTTGTAGAATTCTGAAGTTCCTTGTTAATGGCTGTTTTCCCTAGTTGCCTTTTCACTGGGGACTGACTTCAGAGGTTGAGAGAGGCAAAAGTGAGAGAGACCGAGAAAGATTAATTCTTCCAGATTCTGTTGTTATAAATCTGTGTTCTTCTCCTTTGCTCGGCTAAGTAAGCTACTGAAATATGGTTTGTTTGTATATTCCCGAGTCTAGCTCCATTGGCTTTCCAAGCTGGATGCTCCACAGGCAACATTTGCTCTCCCAATGTGTGAACTTATGCAAGTGTGAATTAAAAAGGATATGAATTTCTTGACACTGAGTTAGTTGTCTGATTTCATTATCTTTGAATGGAATGCTAATTTTAGCACAATTTATGACATCCTGATGGATTCCCTATCTTGCCTTAATCTGTGCTCAGGTGTCCCCAGTAGCCAATTTAGGTCAATCTTAGTCCTCTTTAAGAATACTGTGATCCATGAAGGTTTCCAGATGGAAGCTGGAAAGCGATAGTTCATGTTTACATGATAGTTACAAAGCAGATTCAACAACCAGGGCCCTAGAATCACCTTCCCAGCCACAGTCATAGAATCCCTACAGCGTGGAAACAGGCCCTTTAGCCCAACAACTCCACACTGACTCTCAGAGCATCCCACCGAGACCCATCCCCCTAATCTATACATCCCTGGGCACTGTGAGCAATTGAGCATTAATCCACCTAACCTGCACATCTTTGGACTGTGGGAGGAAACTGGAGCACCCGGAGGAAACCCACGCAGACACAGGGAGAATGTGCAAACTCCCACACAGACAGTCGCCTGAGGCTGGGATCGAACCCGGGTCCCTGGTGCTGTGAGGCAGCAGTGCTAACCACTGTGCCACCGTGCCACCATGCCACCCCCAAATCCAACACCTTAGACCGTTTGGCCACACTGCCATGGATCTTCTAGCATCTGAGGCATAAAGACACAGGTTCGAGTCTCACCAGGGAGACTGTAGCACATTTTCACACGCCCAGCGCAGTACTGAGGGAGTGCTGCAGAGTTTCTGGTGCTGTCTTTGGAACGTGACATAAAACCATGGTTCTGTCTACCCTGTCCAGGGGATATAACTGATTCTAAAACCACACTGCTGAAGAAGACCATTCCCGGGTGCCTTGCCCCAAGATTTTTTGCCCTCACGAAAAGACAAAAGCAGAAACAGAAATTGCTGGAGAAAACTCAGCAGGTCTGGCAGCATCTGTGGAGAGAGAACACAGAGTTAGCGTTTCCCTAATGAAAGGTCACTGGACTCAAACCATTAACTCTGTCTCTCTCTCTCTCTCTCTCCACAGATGCTGCCAGACCTGCTCAGTTTTCTCCAACGATTTCTGTTCTTGTCTCAGATTTCTGACATCTGCAGTTCTCTGTTTTATTTATCACAATAAGAAAACATTGGGTCATTATTGCCTTGCTGCCCGTGGGATCTTGCTGTGTGAGAAATGTCTGCTGTATTTCCTGTATTCACAGGTGTCTGCACACTGAGGGAAAGATGCTTTGTCAGCTGTAAAGCACGTTGGGATGTTCTGAGCTCATGAAAGGTGCTATACAAATGCAGGGATAACAAGGTGTAGAGCTGGATGAACACAGCAGGCCAAGCAGCATCAGAGGAGCAGGAAAGCTGACATTTCGGGTCCGGACCCTTCTTC